GTATAGATGGTGAAGTGGGTCCTCAGGGAATGCTTGGAAAAGAGGGTCAAAAGGTCAGAGTGCTTTATGACTTTCAGGTGGAGCAATCACCAAAAACTTTCTAATAGCTCACCCTTTTACATCAATCCACCTGTGATTGCTCCTTTTAAAACACAATGCTGCCCAAAGGCCCTTTCACTCTGTCCTATTAATATATGCACCTACTGTAAATCAGTAACATCTCTTCCTTTCGGTTTATATTTTTCTTTTTGAAACAAAGGGCAGTAGGGGTGAACCTGGGGATCATGGAAGAACAGGACTCCGAGGATCAAGAGTAAATTTACTATTTGTTTCATATAAAAGTCTGAAAAATCCTGAGACCACCAGTGAAAATGCATCTACTTGCAAATACATCTAAAATCCATCTAATATTTTAATTATAAAGATTTTCTAGATAAAATTTCCAGTTCCAATTGCTTAAATTAGATTTTTTTTTTTATTGTGGTCTCAGATTTATTCATATGTTTTGTTTCATGAATATATCATGAATAAACAGAATGTAAATAAGTCGTCTTGTATCGTCTGATCACATTCCCCCATGTTGTTTTTGTGTGCTCAGGGTCGAGCAGGCCAACATGGTCCCCCTGGTGTACCTGGAATAGTGGTAGGGGAATTGCATTTGAGGAAATTGAGTCCAGATTTATTTAGTTCACGCTTTATTGATTTGATCATATAGACTTTGCTATTTTTGCAGGGTTTAAGAGGTCCAGTTGGTGCAGAGGGACCAGAAGGAAAGCCTGGTACACAGGTTCCCATTTCATACATTTAATATCAAGTTTTTTTTATATCAGTCATAGTGATTTATCATATATGAATCTTTGCTTTACCATTGCAGCAAAGTAAGACATTAAAATTCTGTTGAATTTATGCATCTGTCTTGCAGGGTGTTTCTGGTTCTGTTGGAAGCCCAGGGGATAAAGGACCTGATGTATGTTTCTCCTCATCAACCAAATTATTCTGTGAGATATAATAGTCAATTGAAATCAGACTGCTGCTATAATAAAAGCTTGTAAAGACTTGTCAATAATGATAACAGATAGTTCTTTAAAAAAGCTATTACCAACATTAGACCTCAGAAGGAGGAGAAACACTTTATACAGGCATGTCAAGGTCAGAAAGATCAAAGAGTATTAAACTTAACGAGGTCTTAAACATCCAGTTGGGTTGGTTCTTCTGTCATGCAGCAATGAGCGGTTTCAGCATGACAGCAAGAGCCTGAAACGTGTTTTTTAAGTCAGATATGTAGTATTTATTTTGTCTCTTTTTTGCTTTATTGATAGCAGCACATGAGCTGCATGAACAAGGTTGTGTAAAACCTGATGATGATGTGATCTAGCATCATTTAAGAAGATCCAAAGGGCATCTTTTAAGTGGAGGAAATAATATTTTAATCTAAAAGGAGTTAACAGGGTCATGTCACAAGTTTGATTATTGGCTTAGAAACAGTTCACAATCATTAAATATTTGTATTACTTTTACATCAAACGATGTTCATTGTGGACTTTTCCAGTCTTTCACTCATTTTTTATGTCATATATCAAATATCTTCTGTAATATTTGTCATCTAAAGGGCTTGAAGGGCATGATTGGAGAACAAGGAAAACAAGGCCCTCCAGGCTCACAGGTGAGCATAACAACAGGACAAACTGATTGCTAGGACTGTTAAAAATGAGTAGTCAAACCTCAAAATGTAAAGTAAAATATTGTTCATGTTTTCCTTACCATCACAGAATTTAAAATTCATAACTATATTTGTTCTTGTTCACTAACATCGACTGAAAACACAACTGTTTATCACCAGCTCACGGTTTCTCTTCTCATTAGGGCGCACCTGGACGACCAGGCCAGGATGGCATCCAAGGCCCTCCCGGTGAGAAGGTAAGCCTCTCAAAGCTTTGTATTGCTGTCAGAACATTAATAATGTAAATAATACACCGTGTTCACATGTATCATTGCTGTGTATGTTATCAGGGCTTTACTGGAAAACCAGGCATTGCAGGTGCTCAAGGGCCTGTAGGCATGTATGTAAGTGGCACTGTCCTGCATAAACCAGTCTAGACTGACATGAAAATTCATGATCAGCTTGTAGCAGGGATTTGATTGTATATGCTGTTTTCTTGCTCTCAGGGTTATCCTGGAGCCACAGGCCTTCGTGGACAGCTAGGTCACGTTGGAGAGAGGGTTAGAACTTTCTGCTGTAAATATTTTACAATGAATTTTTCTCTCAGCATTCTGGATGTCGTATCACATATATTGTGTGAATGTGCATCTGCAGGGTGAACCTGGCATCAGGGGACCTCTGGGTCCACCAGGGCAAAGAGGGCCACCTGTAAGTTGATTTGCATGTCATTAAGTATCATTAATGTGATGACATTTTGGTCATTTCTTCTTTAAAACAATTGTTATCTTGTTAAACTTGTAAGGGTTTACCAGGCCTACCTGGTGAGAGGGGCCCACGTGGACCACCGGTGAAGTAACTTCTCCATTCATAGAGCCAAATAATTGAATAGCACTATTTTGATATTCAGAAAGGTTATTAATAATGCTTCAAAAAATGTTTAGGGTCACCAAGGGGAAACAGGACCTGCTGGCTTGCAAGGACTGCCTGTATGTAGCCCTCAGTTTGAATCATACATTTTGATTTTTGAGAAGCAGAAATAAATTTAAGTGCAATAAGTTATTTTAAATTGTAATATTTCATAATATTTCTTTTTATGTATCTTCATGTATAATAGACCATTTATTTGTGTGTATATTATATCGTACATAATATTAAATAGTATGTGTATTTTGTATTGAAATGCACATAAATTAATTTCCATATATTTTATATCAATTATAAAATAACCTGATGGCCTGATGCTGATGAATATTATGCTTTTTGCACCATGATGTAGCAGTCAGCACTGTTAACTGTCAAGTGGTCATAGCATTTGACAAATTGTTTTACATTACATGTGAGTGTGTGTGTGTGTGTGTGTGTGTGTCAATTCAGGGGCCCTCCGGACTGCCAGGGACTGAAGGTGTAGCTGGAAAGCCAGGCCTCTCAGGGAGCCAGGGGCCTCGGGGGCCACAGGGAAAACAAGGACCAATTGGTTTGCCAGTGAGTGGGTACCCCTCATTTTTATTATTTCATTTTTAGGATATTTTTCAAAGACTTTTAAAATAAAGTTACAATCTGAGATTCTGATCATATTCTTCTATTCTTCAGGGTTCACTGGGAACAAGTGGAATGGTTGGTCAAGCAGGAGAGAAAGGAGGGCAGGTATTGTAAGCATTTCAATTTACTAAATCAGGTTACGTAACACATGGGATTAAGCATTTGATTTATAATGCTCTTCTTTAGGGTTTGCGAGGACCTTCAGGTGACCCTGGATCTGTAGGATTGGATGGACCACAGGTCAGTTCATTTCAATATATGCAGAATTAACTGCTATTAGGAGGCTTCCTGTTTGAGTTCCCTGAATCAACTTCCTCTTTTCTTGGGCATCTTACCAAAAATAAAAGCAACTTAATCTCTGGTTCAGTATGTTTTTAACAAAGGTGGGAATATGTGCATAGCAGAATTACTGGAGATTTTTGTTAAAGCGCGATGCATTAGCTACCCTTTCTTGTTTTAGTAAAATTCATCATGAATTAACATACAGTTTATTCACCTCTCTCTGCTGTAGGGCCATCCTGGTCCAGTTGGTTTTGAGGGTCCAATAGGGCCAAAAGGGGAACATGTAAGTGCTAAATATTGATAATGGTTCATATGCATCCAGCAAAACCACTAAGTCTGTCAGCTTCCACTCCAGGCTTTTTCCAAGTGAAGTGATTTTACTTGGGTATTTGATTTAAGGGATCACCTGGACCCATTGGGAGGCCTGGTCCAAATGGACCTCCGGGAGAACAGGGGCCTCAGGGCTCTCAGGGAATGCAGGGTGCACCAGGACCACGTGGCAAAGAGGTCAGTGACATCGATTACATGAGGCTTCAAGTCGCGTTATTAAGCTACGCTACGCTAAATTTGGGGTCATTAAGAGTTTTTTTTTTTTTTTAAAGAAACAAATAATTTTATTTAGCAAGGACTTTATTTAAACGTGACAGTATAAACATGTATAATGTTACAAAAGATTTCTGTAACATTATACATGTCCATTTCCACAAAAATATTTTTGTGGAAAAACAGCACAACTGTTGTTTTTTTTATAAGAAATATTTCTTTAGCACCAAATTAACATATTATAATGATTTCTGAAGGATCATGTGACACTCAAGACTGGAGCAATGGCTGATGAAAATTAGGCTTTAAAATTCAGAATAATAAATTACATTTTAAAATGTATTGAAATAGAACACTGTTGTTTTAAAATTGTAATAATATTTCACAACATTATTGTTTTTATTATATTTTTGATCAAATGAATGCATCCCTGGTGAGCATAAGAGAGTTCTTTCAAAAATATATTTTTTTTTAAATCTTACCGACCCCAAACAGCTGTGTATATATCTTAAAAGTCCTTGTTATTTTAAAGTGCATTGCAATAAATTAATAATTATGAGTATGATGTTTCATATACAGGGAGGTATTGGACCTCCAGGTGATATTGGAGAGCCTGGGCCTAAAGGACAAAAGGTAAAATAATTCCACAATACTCTTATTTTTAAGTAAAATTTCATTCTATACGGTACATTATGAAAATTCAGGTCTATACAATGGCCAGTTTCTACACAAAGTGAAGTAACTACATTCTTATTCAATCAGGGTGACCCTGGACATCGGGGATTCTCTGGACGACAAGGCCCATCTGGATTTTTTGGGGACAGAGGAGAGCAAGGAGTGAAGGGGAATAAAGGCTACATTGGTCTACAAGTTAGTGATCTTGCTGAGCAAAACTCGTTTCTATTGGACATACTCTTTGGCTACCTAACTATTATTGCACTGTTAATTTATAGTAGTTTTTGAAGTGTATATTGCTTTGAATAATGATTGCCTCTTCACCAGGGTCAGAATGGATTGATGGGAAAGACTGGTCCATCTGGTTTGATGGGTCTAGAGGTATGATTTTATATAAGATGCACCTAAATAAACTTACATTATTGTAGTTTTTGACGGGGAACACACTTTTGGGGTTGGTTGTTTGGTTGAGTCTGTAAGTTGACTTTCAATGCAGGGTTTGATAGGCCTTCGGGGACCACCAGGACAAAATGGTTCACCAGGCCCAAAGGTATCACTCCCTTTTCTTCCTCAAGTTTCTTTCATTAATTCCTTGTAATAGATCAGGATTACCCTTATGCATTTCCTAATGTAACAGACCTGCTCTTTGTTTCAAAAGGGGAAAACAGGATTACCTGGGGTGCCTGGCCATCCAGGAGATCAAGGCAATCGGGTAAAATCAATGACTGTTTTCCATCATACAACAGTTTGGGTAAAGTAACATTAGAATTGTGAACCGGGAACAAGACAGAGCCACATTCGTCTCACTGCCCTTTTTGCATACATATCGGCTGCTATATAAGATTACAGGAACTGAGGGGAACCTCTCAATGCCAAATTAAAGTCATTATGTTTTTGTTTCATCTGCAGGGAATAGCTGGGCAGAGAGGCTTACAAGGGGTTATGGGGAAGGCAGGAACTCAGGTTAGTACGGCTAACCGTTTCAAGGTAAATCCTGGTTACAGTGCTGGATTTTCAGCGGACAAATAATACTGATATTGCAGGGAGCCGTGGGTCCCAGAGGCCCTGAGGGCTTATTGGGTCCAAAGGGTATGCCAGGACAAGAGGGACCTAAAGGTGAACCAGGAAGACAAGGACCTCCAGGGCAGATGGTGAGGCTCTAAAATAAAGAAGAACTTTTATAACAAGTGTCTAAAGTCTGCTTGATGTCAGGTAATGATTGTCTCCTGTCTAGGGACCACCGGGCCTCCCTGGCACTAAAGGACCCTCAGCATTACCAGGAAAGGAGGTAGAATTTCACCATAAAACAAAGTGTCCAAAACTGTTATTTAAATGTAGAAACTGTAATTTAGTCATATTGATATTATGTTAAATATTGTTCAAAATTCAGAAATATAGTACTTGTTTATTTATTTAATTGCTTTTTGCTGTTATTTCCAGGGACTTCCAGGGGAAATGGGAGCTCAGGGCCCTGTTGGCCCACCAGGGCCACAAGTCAGTATTTGTGTGATTTTTAATATCAAGGAAATTTCTATTCTTTCACCGCCTGAAGACCGGAAATTATATATTATTTCTGTTTAAATGTTTTAGGGTCCAAATGGCAAATCTGGGCCTCAGGGAAGGGATGGACCGAAAGGTCAGAAGGTCAGAGTGGTCTAAATCTCATTATTCATCATATGTTAAGATTGATTTTGTAATCTGATATCATGACATTCATTCTTTCCTTCTTTAGTTGCTGTGTTAATTTCTAAAAAATATTACCGTACTGTATATACTTTTCCAATTTTTCAGGGAAATGATGGTCTAGATGGACCTCCTGGAAAACCTGGGCATGCAGGGAAGAGAGTAAGTACAGTGTTAAGGTTTTTTAGTGTTTGGAGGAAACATTTCCAGCATAAACAGATCAATATAAATTATTCTTTCACTCTTAGGGGAAAAAAGGAAAAGCTGGTCAGAGGGGTCTCAGAGGACCTAGAGGGGAGAAGGTACTCGTTTATTAATTAGTCATTTTTAAATGCTGCTTAACCTGTAAAGGCATGATGTTTGTCACAAATTACCAGGGGTGTGGACTCGAGTCACTTGACTCGAGACTTGACTCGGACTCGAGTCCCAAATTTGATGACTTGCGACTCGACTCGACATAATTAAAGAAGACTCGAGACTTGACTTGGACTTGAGCCCTGTGACTCGGAAAGACTTTATGATCAGATCAAAGTCGTTATAGACGCGTCCCCTGCAGTGTGCTTGCGCTTGACTGGCAATAAGCCAGAGACTGCGTTCCGGGAGCGCTGGATAGGTTAGTATAAATTAATGGAGTAATAGCATAACTTACGACAAAAGAACAGAGATAAAAAAAATAAAGAACAAATGACATGATTCGTCTAGTAGCGATCTCTGCTCGTGAAAAGCGCTGCCCTGTCCGTTTGATCGCCGCCCAGCAGACACACGGAGCGGGCATGAGAAACTAGATGCGTGGCCGCGATCACTTCACTGGTGCTCGCCTCATCATCACCGTGACCGCTGCTGTTAAATAT